CGGCCTCCTGGGTCGGCTCCCACCACGGGCCTCACGGCCCCAACGTGAGCGCCTTCATCGCGCATCCTGGGGCCTCAGCAGCCCCAGCGTGAGCTGCCCACGCCCATCCTCCGTCACTCGGACGCCCATCATCTGCACCCCCTTCCAGGCGACCCAGACCGTGTCCTTATCTTGCCCTTCTCTTTCACCGTGTGGACCTGGGAAGGGAGGGGTGGTCTCTTACCAGCCTCTACCCAGGCCGACACTGCCTCCCCATCGCTGAGCTCCTGGCTCTACCCACCCTGAGCTTGATCCCACTTCCCTTCATTCTGACTTCCCTCTCCATGGTCGGTGGTCCCTCTCTCATCCCATACCACCGCAAGCCTGTCTCATCCTCAAAAGCCCCAGTGGTCAGGACAGGGGGACAAAAGCTAGCCACACTCCCTGTCTGCCCAGGGTTCCTTTCCTCCACCCCAAGCCCTCCAGCTTGCTCATAACCCCTGCCCACCTTCTGCCCCCAGATCAAATCCCAGCAGAGCGAAGTAACCCGCATCCTGGATGGGAAGCGCATCCAGTACCAGCTAGTGGACATCTCCCAGGACAACGCCCTACGGGATGAGATGCGAGCCTTGGCGGGCAACCCCAAGGCCACCCCACCCCAGATTGTTAATGGAGACCAGTACTGTGGGGTATGGGCCTGGGGGTTGGGGGTGGGGGGTGTTATAGATGGACTCAGGCCAGAGTCAGAGCTCCAGCACTCAGGTGACCACCTCTCTCATCCCCTCCCCCAGGACTATGAGCTGTTTGTGGAGGCTGTGGAACAAAACACGCTGCAGGAGTTCCTGAAACTGGCCTGAGCCAAGCCCAGACTGGCCAACTGCATTCCCTCCCCACATTCCCCAGCCCCCGCCATTGTGGGCCATGAAGGACCTTGTGACCAACTCCCTGTTATTCCTCACCTTCTGCCCTCGGAGCCCTGTCCCCCATCCCAAGCCCCTCCTCCTCCCTTTAACTGTAGCCCCCTCTCCTCATTCAGAGGCAGCATTCCTGACCCAGTAGTCTCAGAAATTGTCTTAAGCAACAGCCCAAGTGCTCGCTGTCTCAACCTGGCCCTGGGACTGCCACCCTGCCTGGCACTGGCTAATGGGCATCTTCGTTGGTTCCATTAGCCTGGGCTCTGCCAAAGGCCCCGCAATCCCCAACCTGGGAGCACCCTAGAGACAATTAAATGTCCCATTCCATTGGTGTCTTGTCTGTTTGGTGTTGCCTAGACATCCTGAGTTCCTGCTCTGAGCAAGGCGGGTAGGTGTAAGTCGGCTGAGGCTGTGCTCCTGTGGGCAGGGCAGGTTGGTTGAGCTGTACCCCCGTGTGGCACTTGTGTGTGATAGTGCATGTGTTTGGATATGTGTCCAGCACACACATACCTGTGTGGACCAATGGTTTCTGGAAACTGTGGGTGGGTCCCCTTCCAGTTCCTATGCATGTGATGGTCCATGACACACCTGTGCCCTGGTGTGTGGTGCACATTTGCATGTCTGTCAGTAATGTGGCTGGGCCATGTGGCTGCCTGCCTGTGTTCCAGCAGGTTGGCTCAGTGTGGGTGTGTCATGGGAATGGGTACACAGCTGTAGTTCTGCCAGTTTGGGAGCCGTGCCTTTGTGCATAGTATTGAAGTGTCCCCACCCGCTTGTGGTTCTGTGCATATCTGTGTACAGGGATCTGCTGGCTGCCCCAGCTGAGCCTGTGCTGGGGCCCGCCTTCCCTTCGCTGGATCCGCTTAACCCTTCTATGGAGAAAGAGGAACCTAGAGGACAAAGACCCAGCAGCCAGGCCTGCCAGCTGGGGCTCAAGTTACTGAGAGGGCCGGTCGGCGCCGCCCCCTCCCCGACCCAGCTGGGCCCCAGCCTCCCCTGGTGCCCAGTGGGGCTGTCCCACAGAGGAGCCTCAGGAAGCAGCTGGTATGGGGGCGGGCGCTTTATTTGGGTTGGGGGCTTGGTTGGGGTCCAGTGGCGGGCGGCAGGGCCCGGCTCGCCCGCAGTAGCAGAGCTGCATTGGGCACCAGTCCGGCGGCCTGCAGCGTGAGCTCGTCCTCGCGGTAGACTGTGGGCGGGAACGCACTGAAGATCTCGAAGGCATTTGGGTCCATGCCCCTGGGGTCCGGGCAGAAGAGATCAGGTCAGGTCGTGGGACCTGGGACCAGAGACCCACTGCATCCGCCATTCTGGCCCCGCACCCACCTGGCCTGCGCGAGCAGGGCTCTCACATCACCAACAGTGTCCTCAGGCCACATCATTAGCAGAAAGGCCTGCTCACCGTTCTCAGACTTGATGCGCAGCATGGAGAGCGGGTGCTCAGGCGACTCAGGAGACTCTTGGATCCTGCGGGCCCAGAGGCCTTCAGTGCCCCCACAGCCCAACCCCCAGGTTCTCACCTCCACTCTGCCCTCACCTCTTACGCTCAGCAGCCAAGGCAGGCGTCTCCACCATGATCTCCTGGACCGGGAGAGGCCATGGGCAACAGTTCTGGAAGGCATCGATGGAGTGGACAGAGCCCTGAATCCTGCCAGTCCCACCCACCCCCACCCCTAGAGGGGACTTGTTCATGACGGGGAATTGATTAAACCATTGAGCCTAAGGGAGAGGTGGGGTGTTCTGTGTGAGGGAGAGTCCAAGCAGAGGCGATGGAACAGAAGCTTTGGGACACTGCCCCATCATCCCCCCAAGAAGACTTGAGGTCCCTAAGTCTAGTGGGGGAGACAGAACCCCACACTGATGATGACCAGGCTGGGTGCTGAGGCCAGCGTGGGTCAGGGGAGATTTCCCTAGGGAAATGACACCTGAGCTGTGACTGGAGGAAGAGGAGGAGTCCTACGAGATGGAAGGGGCCAAGGGGACTCCAGACAGCATGGGAAGGTCCCCAGGTCAGGGGAGACTTCTGAGAGGAGAGAATACTTTGGGGAAGTGTCAGTTTGTGGGACGGAAGCTGGGAATCAGGTTGGACTGGAAGAAAGAAAAGGTTAGGAGTGGGGAGTGGGGGGAGAGTAAAAAGACAGGCCCAAGAACCACCAGAGGGTTCAATAAAAAGCCAAGACCAGTTTACATTTTTAAAAGGAGCTGCTTAGGGGAGGATGGTTGGCAGGTCAGGAGTGGATGTGGGAGGTTAGACCACTGTAGTTGAGTGGGAGAGAGATTCTGGGTCGTGGGAATGGAGAGAAGGATGGGCCCAGGAGAAGTTCTGGGGACCAACAGATCAGATAGGACTTGGCAATGTGGGGCAAAGGAGGTAGAGAGTCCTGGGAAACTGAGGTTTGCTACCTGTCACAGGTGGAGGCAGAAGAGGAGGAGCAGGCTTGGGAGTGAGGAGAGGAAGATGAGTAGTGTGAGGGCCCAGAAGGGCTCTCCAGAACTGAACTGGCTATTTTGGGCTGGAACTTGGGCCCACCTCTGGCCTAGATTCTGACTTTTCCCCTCTTACAGCCACGCCCTTGCCAACCAGCTGCTCTCTCAGTCCGCCCTGAGCCCTCACCAACTCATTTCTAGAAGACAGTGGGACAGATCTGAGACACCCATCTCTCCATCTAGACCCTCCTCAGGGACCCCTAAGTCTGAGCCTCCACACAAGATACTGCTCTGGTAGGCTGGGCCAGGGTTGATGGTAAAGCCCCCAAGAAGACTGGGGGAGGTGCCCTGGCCAGTGTGGCTTGGTTGGGGCATATGCTGAAGGCAATTGATCGATGTTTCTCTCCCCCTCTCTAAAATAAATATTTTTTTTTAAAAAAGGAAATCTTGCCTTTAAATGTTTCTCTCCCCCTCTCTAAAATAAATATTTTTTTTAAAAAAAGGAAATCTTGCCTTTAAAAGAGAGAGAGAGAGAGAGAGAGAGAGAGAGAGAGTGTGTGTGTGTGTGTGTGTGTGTGTCTGGGGAGCTAGGGCTGGCCTCACCTGCAGGGCATCCCGGATGGGGCCCCGGATGTCAATCACCTCGCCTTGACGGATCACAAATTTGGGGAGCTTGTTCAGAAACTTCTCAAGAGTCATCCTGGAACCTGTGGGGAGGGCAGTGGAAGCCTTGTAACAGGGAGGGACTGTGAGTGATGATGGAGGAGGCCACCTGGACCTTGTCCTGTACAGCACCCCTGCCACCTGGCTCAGCTTCAGGGCCAACCTCACCTGGGTGCTCCATCATGACTGAGGGCTTTCGAATCCTCTGCATGCCTGTCACTCGGCCCTCACCTGGGAATGGGTCCAGCCCATGCTCTGGGTAAACCTGATTGCGCAGGTCACTCACCTGACAAGAAGGAAGGGAGACAGCGGCGGCAGGACCAGATCTTCAGTGCTGGCTCCACCCCTATCCCTGCTTGCCCAGGCCCCAGGAATAGGCCCAAGGGATAGTCTGATGGAACCCCCATTTTACAGGTATGGAAACTGAGGCTCTGGGGCAGAGCAAGAGCTGTAGTTCATGCTGTTGTATATGTGGGCCCTTCCTGCAAGCCCTCCCTGGCGCCACAGGCCTGATATCCTCCTCAGAAGCCCCTTTTGGGAGCCTGCAGGGAGGGATGAGGGTGTTAGGACAGGGCAAAGCCTTTGCTGCCTATTGTTTGCAGTGCAGACCCCATCATTGCACATATCACCTCGCTTGTCCCCATGCAGGCACACCTCCTGAGCCCCTGTCTTGACATGGACCCCGGATCATGACTCCCACTATTTCCAAGCCATGGTGGTACACACTCCCTCACATGCTCTCATTGTGGAACTAACACCACCCTCTGGGACATGTGCTCCCATCACAGCGCCTTTCATCTCACACACCAGCAGGGACCAGCTCCATCTCATGTGCTTTAGCCCCAATATATTCCCCTGCCCTGCCCCTCCCCCCACAATGGCACTACCTTCCATCCCAATCAGATGGCTCCTGGAGCCTCTAGGGGGAGCCCAGCTACTTTTGCACAGACTCCTCAGGGACTCCAGGCAGTCAAGTTGTCCCAAATGCTGGAGGAGGGGCAGTGGTTGAGGACTGTGCCTTCAGAGTGCCAGCAGGGGGGCACTGCCTGCTGCTCAGCTACTGGCTGTCTTGGCTGCTGCTGTGTCAACTGTGGCCATGGCCGCCTCCCCACTCCCTCCCCAGCCTGGCTTCAGGCTCACCTTCCTGAAGTTCATCAGATTGGGTCCCCTGAAGTGGGGCATCTGCTTCAAGACTCAGACAGGGTGATGCCTGAGGAAACTGTTTATCCCCACCACCTCCAAAATCCCCACTTAGGGAGTAGCTGACTGCTTTGAGGAGCAGCTCATCACCTTAAAGGGGACCCCATCAGGGAACAGGCGCTGGAGCTCTGCAGGGAAGAAGCCGTCCAGTATGTCTCGGAGGCATCTCTATAGGAGGGAGAGGAAAGGTAAGGACTGGGCCTCAGGCTTACCCAGTGGGTCATACTCTGGCCCAGGACTTGGCAGAGGTGGGGGTGGGGGCTCTGCAAGGTTTGCATAGGACTGAGTGCCCATAGGGCAGGGGTGGGCAAACTTTTTGACTCGAGGGCCACAATGGGTTCTTAAACTGGACCGGAGGGCCGGAACAAAAGCATGGATGGAGTGTTTGTGTGAACTAATATAAATTCAAAGTAAACATCATTACATAAAAGGGTACGGTCTTTTTTTTTTTTTTTTAGTTTTATTCATTTCAAACGGGCCACAGTTTGCCCACGGCTGCCATAGGGGGTAAACTGGGCCCCATCTCCCACTAATGATGAACAGAGTGGGGAGCACCAGAGGACTGTCTTCCCTTCCCCCAGCTCTTACCTGTGTGGAGGGATCATGGAACGATCGGAAGGGCCCATCAAATATCATCATGCCGTTCCGGTACAGCTTCACTGGGATGGGCTCAAGATCGTGGAGCCGTGCTCCACCGGGCATTGGTGTCAGCTGGGTGTCACTGCCTACCACCAGCTCACTGAGGTCCTTCAGGCTGGCCAGCAGCCTATCAAAGTCCACTTCAGGGGGCACCAATGAATCCGCTGCTAGAGAGGATAGACACCTATGAGCCTCTCTTCTTGGCTGCCAATGTGCCCTAGCAGCCCTGGCTCCCATGCCCTCTCCCATGATGAGCAGTGGCTTTAGCATCTCCTTAAGTGACCACCTGGGGAGGAGGAAGGACAACTAACACTAGATAATAATAGCTATCTTCTATTGAGCACATACTTTTTATTATTATTATTGATTTCAGAGAGGAAGGGAGAGGGAGAGAGAGAGAGAAACATCAACGATGAGAGAGAATCATTGATTGGCTGCCTCCTACACACCCTACACTGGGGATTGAGCCTGCAACCTGGGCATGTGCCCTGACTGGGAATCGAACTGTGACCTCCTGGTTCATAGGTCGACGCTCAACCACTGAGCCACACCGGCTGGGCTATTGAGTGCATACTTTGTGCTAGGGGTTTAATATCTACTATCCCATTCTCTCTTCCTGCCAACCCTGTGCTGTAGGGCTATAATCAGCCCCATTTTTCAGATGAAGAAACTGAGGGTTAGAGAAGATTGATGGCATGCTTAGGGAAGCACGGAGTAAGTGGCAAGAACAGGATCTGATCTGTCCAGGTGCTGGGTTAGCAGCTGGATTCCAAGAAGATGACCATGTAAGGACTAGCTGGGGACAAGCACTCTGTCCATGTTAGCTGTTGTTACCAGCTCTGCCTTGCAAAAAAATGGACCTCAGGCCAACCCAGAGGCTATGAGGCAGGGGTTATTTATCTCCATTTTACACATGAGGAAACAGGCCCACAGAGACAAAAAATGACTTGCCCCAAGGCAAGTTAGAGGAGGGGCTGACTCTAGGGCAGCGGTTCTCAACCTGTGGGTCGCGACCCCTTTGGGGGTCGAACAACCCTTTCACAGGGGTCGCCTAAATACATCGTGCATATCAGATATTTACATTACGATTCATAACAGTAGCAAAATTACAGTTATGAAGTAGCAACAAAAATAATTTTATGGTTGGGGGTCACCACAACATGAGGAACTGTATTAAAGGGTCACGGCATTAGGAAGGTTGAGAACCACTGCTCTAGGGTCTGTTTCTCTCACCCACCTGAACTATGAGGAAAAAGAGGTCGTAGTGAGGACAGCTGGCTACTAAGGAAGATGTCCAAACAGCTGCTGGGCAGAACAGATGTGGGGCAGATCGTGGGTTGTGCAACTATTTCTGGGTCACAGACCCTCTGAGAAGCTGACAGAAGCTCTGGCCTCCTATTCTGAAAAACTGTGTTGCACATACACCTGTGCAGAAGCTTCAGAGGGTGCCGAAGGGGTGGTGGGACACCCGTGACAGATGCCAGAGCAGAAAGGGCAGAAGGCAGGGGCCTGTTCTCAGTCCTTGAAAGGACCTGGTTCCCCAGTAAGTCATCTACTAGCGTGCAATCCTCACCAAACGGTGACTGTTTGGGCCTTCTTGGAAGCTGTTTTTCACCAGGACAGCCACCCTGCCACAGGATGTGGGTCAGGGCTCCGGGGACCTAATTCCTTTCCCCACAGTGGTACAGTGGCTACACCGGGGGAAGTACAGATGTGGGTGGCCATTTCCTGTTGCCTTTGTGCTGTGGAAACAGTAGGCTCCTGGTGTCCTTCCCCTCCCTCTCCTTACGTTCCCTACTGTTGTCGGGGCTGCACTGCCCTGGCTCGTCCTGGAGTCCCTGAGACTCCCAAGGAAAACCCACAGAACACAGCACCCCGGCTATGAGTCAGAACCACGTCAGGACGCTGTTTTCCTTTAACAACTACTTTCAGAACACATTGGTAAACCTACAAATAACAACTGAAAAGCTCATCTTCAACGTCTCCCTGGTCCCTATATTCTTACAGGCGGGGAAAGTGAGGCCTAGAGAGATGAGGCCAAGACGACTTGGCCCAAGCAGACCCCGCCAAGCAGGGCCAGGAGGACCATCTGCCTGATAACCCAGCTGCCTCCTGGGACCAGAGGGCTTTTTCTGGGAGCTGACAGGACATGGGGTGTTTGCCAGGGGAAGAGGCAGGCAGAAGCCCAGGGGAGGATGCCAAGAAGATATGAGAGCGAGTCCCGCCGGTGTGGCTCAGTGGTCGAGCATCGACCCATGAACCGGGAGGTTATGGTTGGATTCCTAGTCAGGGCACATGCCCAGGTTTTGGGCTGGATCCCCAGTAGAGAGTGTGCAGGAGGCAGCCGATCAATGATTCTCTCTAGAACTGATGTTTCTATCCCTCTCCCTTCCTCTCTCTGAAATCAATAAAAACATTTATAAAGAAATAATGAGAGGGAAAAGAAAAGTTTGCTGAGAAAATCACTCTAACATGTCTCAGCCCGCGGGCAGGGCAGGTCCCGGGTGAAACAGCGCAGGTGAGGCAAGGAGTCCCTGAGAAGGAACCGCAGCTTTGGGCAATGCAGGGCTGAGAGGATAAGGCAGGAAGGGCCTGTCATCACCAACACACAGCAGGCCGAAGCCTGACCCAGTGCAGCGCAGGTGAGGCAAGGAGTCCCTGAGAAGGAACCGCACGCAGCTTTGGGCAATGCAGGGCTGAGAGGATAAGACAGGAAGGGCCTGTCAGCACCAACACACAGCAGGCCGAAGCCTGACCCAGTGCGGCCAGGTCACCAGGGATAAGGCGGGTCAGAGGTCAAGTGAGGCATTTCCTCTCCGAGCTGCAGCTTTCCTCTGCGTGGAATGGACAGATCATGGGAATCGTCATCCTACCCACAAAATCCAACTGTCTACCGAGATAATGACTCAGGGTTGTGTTCACAGCAAGCACCAGAGGCAGGTGTGCCACTCCTGTTCTGCACATGAGGAAGCTGGGCCTCGTGAGGCAACATGCCCAGGGCCATGCAGCTTATAGGATCGGGTGATGCTAACTAAGCCTTTGTTCTCAGTGACCACTCGCTGCCTCTCAGTGTTGGTTCTTCGGACATTGCTCACTGGGGTCCCTTTCCAAGGAGAGGTGCAGCAAGATCATCTCTGAGGCCTCATTCAACTTTGAGGGCCCATGGTTTTATTTAAAAGGGGCGTAGGTAGGCATGGAGAGCAAGTCCAAACTCCTTGGCCCAACCCTGGGGACCTTCAGAGCCTGGGCTCCCCAGACTCCTCTCAGGGTGGTCTCCCTTCATGCTCTGGAGCCACAGTGCCAGGGCTACTGCTTCCAAGCTGTGTGGCCCTGGGCAAGTGGGCCAACTTCTCTGGGCCTCAGTTTCCTCTTCTATAAAATAAGAACAATCACAGTCCCACCTCACAGGGTTGTTTGAGGAAGTGGTGGCAGGTGCTGTTGTGTCACTAGCCCCCATCCTCTTGCTCATTGCGGGGCTCAGGGTGCTCTTTCACCACCTCCTCTGAGAAGCCTTGCCGGAAGCCCCTTCCCCTGAGGCTGGGCCCCGGTTCCTCTGGGGTTCCTGAAGCCCCTGAGCCACTCCCTTGGCCCTTGTCACAGGTGTCACAGGCTGTTGTCATTTGGTTTGACTTTCCAACCACACCAAACACTTCTTTTTTTTTTTTTTTAATCTTCACCCAAGGACATGTTTTTACTGATTTGAGAGAGAGCAAGAGAGGAAGAGGAGGAAACACTAATGTGATAGTGAAACATCAATCAGTTGCCTCTAGCAGGTGCCCTGACAGGGGCTCAAACCTGCAACCAGGGCATGTGCCCTGACCAGGAATGGAACCCGTGACCTTTTGGTGTGCAGGAGGACGCGCCAACCAACTGAGCCACATCGGCCAGGGCCCAAACACTTCTTGAACCCAGGCTAGAGCATCCAGTGTGGGCCTGGCCAAGAGAGGCTGCTGAAGCAGCAACTCAGAGAACATGCTAGGCCCAGAGAACCATGGCTATGCCCATACCCAGAGTCCTGCCCTCCCGGGGTCCATACTTGAGTGAAGGAGACGGGGTGACAATGACATTGGTAAGTGCCGTTGTCGGGGCTACAGAGCCCAGAGGAGGGCCAGACCCTGTCACTATCAGCAGGTGAGTGGTGGGCCTGCATTGAGCTGATTCTTTGCACCTTCGCTGGGAGGACCATCTGCTGCCATGAAAGACAAGGCAGTGCCCAGCATGTCCCATCTCCACCTCAGACTGTTGAACAGGAAATGGACCCACTATTTCCACAAACCTGCAAGTCACGCCCTGCTCTGGGGACTTGACCCACATTCACTGCTCTGCCAGGGCCACCCCCAAATCTCTGGCCCCTGCTGCTGAGCATCGCTGTCGGCTTCTCCCAACGTGCTCTGATCATCCAGGCCTGGGCACCCGGGCACCACGCACCAAGCACATGCATGTGAACATGCCAGGCTCATGGGCAAAGCACTGTGCTGAGCACTCCGGGGCATCGCAAAGCTAAGCAACAATTGGCTCAACGGTCATTGTTCATCTACCAAGTGTCAGCCAGCAGAACACTCCACATGCACTATGGCATTTGATGCTCTCGGTGGCCTAGACGTCAATCACTCTACCGATGAGGACTCTAACGCACAGCCCCTTCCCACATGCCCAGGGGCAGCTGCAGACGGCACAGTGCCTGGCACAGAGCGGGCACTCCATGGGCATTTGTTTAAGCTGAGCCTCAGAGGGGAGAAAAGGGACAAGACACTTCAGGGACACAGCACTGGCCTGAAGGGGAAGTGAGGGTGGGGAGGAGTGTAGGCTGCCTGGGGTCTAGGTAAGGCCATTTCCAGGGCCTCAAAGGCAGCCCAAGGACAAGCCAAGCTGCTGCAGCCCATGGAGTCAGTGTGGCTGCCTGAGCAGGGGAGGGAGGTTCCCACATAAACAGAGGCTGGGGTTTGGGAGAAAGGGTGGTAGGGGGAG